AATCAAAAGCTCCCTAATAATATGCACCCACAAAACAGGCTACAATTGATATTCAAAAATGCCAAACCGAACATATACCACACAGTATCAAGGGCCGCCTAGGAAAATTTGGGAGCCCAGAGCAAAAGGTGAATTTCTTCCTTGGAAATGTTTGAAGTCTGGGTCCAAGAAATGGCCAAATTGTAAGTCTATAGACAGTTAGATATATTTATATTTCACTGTGACTCTTCATTTTGGTTCTCTTTAACTGGGGCCGAAGGTATATTGCCCATCTCCACCCTTCTGGACTGCCTTGAAAGTCCTGGCAAATGAAATGCGACTTAGGCGTGTCAGATCTCTAGAGAAATTACAGGGGCATTCATCCACAGAAGATTGTATAATCTAGGCTCTCTAAAAGGACATTTCCTGCAATGTACGTGCGGAGAGATTCTATATAACTTTGAAGATAATACACCAAATAAAAGTTAAGTATCATTCACTCCATCTTCCAAGGTCATATATAAAAGATATTTCAACTGGTGGGAGACTTTGTTCATCTAGTGAACCACCAGTATAATATCAGTGTCGACGTTCGATAATCTGGCAGTTGTCATTTAAATGGCATAAAAACTATCCTCATTCAAATTGTTTTGATTAATACTTTCTTCAGTGTCAATACGAATTTTACTTCAATTTTTCTGTCCATTGCCTCGTTTTCTTGTCATAATTTACTTTTGTATATCTTGTTATATTTACTCTTATCACTGCACAAATTGGGCACATCACTGCACACTATAAATACACCGTTAAACAATCAGATGAGTTTTGCCTACTCGATACCAATCACATACTAACTAGCCAGTAAAAGGTAGCGGTATAGTAGAAGTGCAAATCAAATCTAAACTCGTTTAGTATGTTTTGCTCGGTTTGTGTGCATGTTAACTTGGTTAAAATTCCTTATTAAACGTCCGGGTTAACCTATAGATAACCTTAATATTAATATTCATCGGTAAATTTTCGTGGTAAATGTAACCGTTTTCCTGGTTATTTTAGGCTGTTGCGAAGTTAATTTAACCTGGTTATAAATGTATACATGTTAGTCCCTGGTTGTTTATCCACCTACCATAATGTGGTTAATTTAATCAGTACTAGTTAAATTGGCTATATAGGTATTTAATAAGATAATCGGGAAAGGTAACCATGCAGAAATATTAATCAACCCAGGCAATTGTAACCCCAATGATTTTAGAGTTATCAAACAGTGCAACAGGCAATTATAGGTAATCACACACGAAGGAGCGTAATTAATGAATAACTCTATACAGGTGTGATTTTTCAAAAAAAAAGGTTTTTCTTGTCTTAATTTCCGCCTTCTCAGTCATCTCGAAAATCATTAATTGCACTCCTGGCGAGTGCAATCATGTATATAACAAGTATATGAAAGTTCTTTTGTAAATTGAAATTTCGAGCATAAATTTTAATTTTTAGACCAAGGGAGATGTCATTTCCAAATACAGAATCTCACGTGGAAGACGATTATGTCATCTATGTTTACAACATTATAATAAATGTTCACCTCCCATGTTTCCATTCAATGCCTTTGACATTGACGATTGTTGGTGGTAAATAATGAGCTGCGAGTTATCCCAAGTTGCACTGCATGTCTTGTCAATCGTAAAGACACGCACGTTAACCACATGGCTAACTCTAATGAATGCACATGGTTATCACAATACCTGCAGGTAAATTGTTTGTCTGTTAGCAGCTATGTCGCACCAGGAATTATTAACATTCTAACAAGTTTGACTTAATCTACAAATGCACAAGCCGTTATTTGAGACAGTCGTTGAATCAATTTCCGAAATATTTATTCACCCTTCTACACCACGCCTAAACCTGGTGAAGGTATTTTCGTGAGTAATCAATATCCATTATTTGTTCCCGTTAATAATGACGCGGGGAACGTGGTTTCCGTGCTTGGTCGTGAGTCGTGATAGCCAGCAATTTCGGTTCGGAAATTGAAACGAAAAATTTGTATAACAATTAAAATGCATCAATGCATGTATTTTTGCCTGCTAAAAGTGGCTGTTTATCTTCACGTGAAACGTGATCTGACCCCCCTCCCCCCTATCCACCCTCATACTTATTACACACCTCTATATATTGCTGGTTAAGTGGGGATTTTCCAGTGCACCAAGCTTTGCCATTGTTAAATAAAACATATTCAGGATTTGATTTGGCATCCGAAGATAAATATTGAGCGTTGGCTGCTTTACCAGTGCCAAGCAAACCCTTGCCGCAATCTAAAAAAATGGGAAAACTCACGCTAAAGAAGTAGTTAATTAAAATATTATATGTAAAATCAAGTAGGCAGTTAAATTAAAGTAGCAAGCAGTTGCGTAACGGAACGTCCTGAGGCCCCCCGTATCAAATTAATTAAGCATGCAATTGTAGAATTTAAGCGTAACGTGGGCTTCATATTTAAGCATGGCAACCGACATCATATCTTGATACTCACCTGCTTCGCATCCAAGTAAGGAAATTCTCATACAAATATTCTTATTCCAAGCGATCGGGATTATTCGAATATGAGAAGCTTCGATTGGGTAGGCTAGTTTATGTCGCATTGGTCCATTGGGGTCGTTATTGCCTTTGAAAATCTAAAATATAAATAATTTGATAAAATGATCGATTATATTGCTGAACAAACAAAGGGAGAACTGTTTGAAGTGTTTGAAATACTGTAATTTTACTGGACATGATTAGCCGAATTTCGCCGTCTGCACAACTGCGCGGTAATATCATCATCAAAATAAAAAAGTTATCACTTCTGTCCATGCATGTTTCTACAAATATAAAAAATATATTACGTTTGAAACTTTGAATTCAATCAGCATCAGATCCCAAATCAAAGATTCGGCAGGAGTAGCACTTGAATTCAAGCGATCATCAATGCTGTTACAATGTTGCTGGATTAAACACGGTTGCTACAAAGTTTCTCCGACAGATTGCTATCGTTCTGCAATTCGACGACTTGTGAACAAGTTGTGAGAGAAAACTTGTAGCAAATTGATAACATGAAATCACGCTTGCCAGGAGCATCTTGGAAACACCACATTTCTCAAAATTACGTGCTAGCCTGGCGCAATGTCAAAACCTAAATTTTCGCCATTTTGTATTGGTATGCTTTCGGCAAGAAACGCTAGACTCGATAATACCCTTTTGCAGAACTCGACGATTATCTATCTTTCGCTACGTAGCGCAATGCTTGGATAAAAGACTTTTTTTGTTTTACAGACGCGTACGTACACGTTTAACACGCTGCTGCATATAATCAGTCCAGGTTTTTCCATCTTCACCAAATTGTATGGAATATTTCTTCACATAACTTTCTTTTCGATCACCAAATGTTAATAACAGCAGAAATTACGCTTTTATTGTCAGCGTTAAACTGAATCCACTGGTTCTTATTGTTTTCCTGAAAGTAGAATAAAGTAAAGTGAATTTGTTTATTTATTGATAGATTTATAATTTCTGGCAATTTTTTATGTAGTGAATCTTTTGTATGTAGTCCTATATATAATGTCAGGATTAATAACATTTAAAACAGGTGAAGATTATAAGTAAAAGCAAGAGAGTAAACCAACAGCCATAATAAATTCGAAAAATATCCGATCATTATTTTCCCATACTACACCAACTTTATTTATAATTGAATAAATAATCCGCGAACCAATGGGGCGAGGGCCGGCTTTCCGGACGGCAGCCCGGTACGAGGGCACAAATTCCGCTCGGCTATTTATTCTCCACGAAAGGAAAGCCTAAAATTCTCCAATAATGGCGGAGTCATGGTTAAGTACGGGAGGTCATGTTAGTGATTCAAAAAATATAGAAGAAGAGGAAGGAGCAATGATTAAAAAACGCGTGCAAGAAAGCTTTACTGCTTCTTAACCCCATTTATTAGCTAGTTAAATTGCATCTAACTCGAGCTTAAATACGCAATTCGGGTTGGTTGTCGTTCCCACTAGCTGTATTTGAGTACTATCTTTATACAATTGGCACCTTTAATTTGATCGAAAAAGTTCGGAAAGCGCATACCTCTGCACACCAGGCAAGCCCATGTATTGCTGTTTGTTTTGGTCCGTTCGTTTGATAGTTCGCTGAAGACGCCGTTATCACTTTGTCTTTTATTCTTTCGGAAGAGGCTATGAACAGCTGACTTTGACATACTAATAAAGAAAAATAGAGACGAGGATACATTGAACAGGTAAATACGTTTGAAAAATGGACGCATTGTAAAACTGGTGGGTATAGGCTGGCGAAAACCAAACAACTTGCTCGAGTTAAAGAAAGCGCGCGAAATTACTCGCTTTCGGCTCGTGATTTCGCGTGCTGTTGTTAACTCTCGCGACATTCCCGCGTGTTTGGATCAGGCCATCCAAACTCGGAAACCATAAAGTAATTGCATAATCGAACATTGAGCATTTCATATTCGTCGGTTGATGATACCTCATGCATGATTCGGCTTGTTTATCACGTTATGCGGCTCAAAAGAAATTATTCAAACTTGTACAAGTCAAATGTTTCTATATTTCTCAAAAAGCAGGCGCCACCACACGAACAAGTGAACTATATAATGTTTTGGTCATTTCAATCGCCATGTTTCATTGTTTTCAACACATGAAGATAAAAAGTTATATCTTCGCGCCGCTGTGTAATATCCTCTACATATTTATCAGTAAAGGTATGTAATATACTAGAAATACATGCATGCAGTAACCCCTCGCATGATTTTCCAAAGATTGATTTAACATGAAGTATTAGTCATTGATCAACACTGAACGCAGGCTCGCGTTCACGTCAATGTTGCCATGGCTGCATGGCAACACGATAAATTTAATTTTTATTATATTTTTCGTATAACACGCCAAAAATAGTTGAAAGATTATTGCTTTTAACTATATAAAATGAATTTCCGAGCAATGTATACTGTAGGTATGTTGTTCTGCATTTTGTGAGCTTTGATTTAATATGTAAAATGTAACCTGAATCGCTTTGTAAAATGTTTTGAAATGTTCATTTTAATATTAAACTATAAACTTCTTTTTCCGATAAACGGTCTTTTCTTGAAAAATATAAGTTTAAATTGTTGAGTAAATTCAGTTCGGTTTTCAAATTAATTTGCTCTCCTTTACATTTTACCTCTTTTCTTAAATTAAACAGCGTAATTTAGCAAACATTTCATTGATAAAGAAAGCAGTGTATGTTTTACGCAGTAAATTAAAGCAACAAAAGGAATAAACTAGATCCTGGTGGAAGCTCGTGAAGCAAATAGCTGGTCAATCGAATAATATAGCGCCAATATATATTGGTAACTTTGTAACTTTGATCGACGTTCAATTAGGAAACGCCTTAAAAGAATTATATATCGCCGTGAATGCAGATATTCCTCTCCTTGATATGCACGAGTTACCAGCTTTTTTTGCCAGCCGCTGAGCAGGTACCGGTTATATGTATTCTTATCAGGTTTGTAAGAAATTGAAAAAACTCAACCCTCACAAAGCAATGGGTCCATCAATTAATCCTTGTTTCCAGTTTACTAGTGAACCGCGGGCAGTAAATTGTGACATGCAGCCAGTTTTATTAATGTGGTTTGCAAAAATAGCCAGTTTCTTATCAGAAATTCTGCATTCTAATAAATTGTATCATATCCGAAGACCCAAAACCTACCAGTATATTTATTGAAAATGTTCCCAACGCAAATAATCTACTAAACCTTTCTATCTTGATTTATGCACCCTGACTATTGATAGGAAGTTCAGTATCAAGTCGTGCGTAAAGCTACCCAAAACGAGTTTTTGTTGGTTTTAGTAAGTCCAACCCAAACCTCTAAAGCGTGGACTTATTTCCGGTCTGCGCAACATATTATATAACGCACGACTGATTCATTTATGGTTTTACTAATAACTATGTTATGCAGCAATTGTTAAAAAAATACGAGTGAAAATTTAAAATGGAAAAAAGTTGACGTTTTGCGCCCTTGATGGGGAATGTGGCGAATTGTCTTAACTGTCTACTATTTTTATACATCCTATGCTAGATGTGGCGCTCTTACCATAAGCACATCCATGAAGTCGTATCTTCATACAAATCAGATCTCCATACCAAGTGACAGGAGTAATAGATAATCCATCGGCTTTTACTGGATACTTGAATGTCCTGGTTGCAACATTTGCCGAATACTGTTGTATCACCTACATGTATCAATATATTAGTTCAGAACGTACGTACAGAAAAATATCGCCATTTAGGATTAAAAAATTAAGATTTACGTTACAATTCTTCCAATAGCATGGTTAAACAGCACGCATTGGCCAGTGTTACGTATACTGCTGCGATTGTTGAAACGGTTAGTTATAAATTTTTCTTTGGATGACTCACGTTATTATCATTAGTTTTCATTAGACCTGGACAGTATCACAAAAAAGACAAAGGGTATAGCAGAGGTGCGATAGCAGGGGCGTAGGAAGCGTCAAAATATCAAGCAGGGAGAAAACCTGCTTCCAAAGTTTTGAATAATGAAAAGGGCGCTAAAGAATTCCTACTTTAATACATTTGCACACATTTCGAAATGCATTTTACAATGAATGTTTAAGACATTCGCCTGCTTTGAGTAAATAACATGATCTTTAAAAATATCAAAATTTCCGACAAAGGTCTTTCATTCGATTCATTTACATGACTTAAGAGTAGTATATTAACAAAATAATATAACTTGCCTTCGCGAATGTGTTTAGGAAACAAAAATGACACCTTCGATGTTCAAAACGTCTTTTCAGCAACGTTACAGTAGCAGGTACCGTAAAGCCATTTTTGAACACAAAAAGGGCACTTTTGGCACTTTGAAAAATTGAAGTGAGACATACCATTTGTTAGCCAGCAAGAATGAAGATATAAATTATATTAATAAAACTAAAGATATACCAACCAACGAGAGAGCTAGCGAGGATGAGGATATGAGTGATATTGAAAAAACCGAAGATATATCAACTAAAGAGGGTAATCCTGTGAAGGTTTTAAATCGACATTTTGAATTCAGTAATAATATTATTCATGAAGCTCCAAGTTCAAAGGAAGAAACGAACACAAACATGTCAACAAGTGTAAATTTGCATAAAGAACCAATGAATTTGCATAGAGTGCCTCATTCCTATACTCGTATGGGAGACTCGAATAAAAATTATAATCCGGAGTCTGAAATTGGAGCATTGAAATTTAAGCTGGAGAGCTTTGCTGAGAAAGTATCTAACAAATTGGGTAACCTAAAAATTGAAATAAATAACATTAAAGAAAGTAAAATAAGTAAAGCATACTCAATTGTGGTTCTAGAAAGTAGAATTGACGAATTAAGGAAAGAGAAGCTGCATGATGTGTGTAAAACCAATGCTGAATTACGTAAGGAAAATATAACTATGAAACATATCATAGTAGATTTAAACGATAAAGCAAAGTCAGCTGAGGAAGAGAAAGCCAGCCCTATTACGGCTATTAAGCTATTATATAAAGAGAAGGAAGGAATGAAGATCAGATTAACGCCAGTCAAGTGGAACAAATTTATTCAGATGAATCACTGTCACTGGGGCAACAACATCCAACGTGTGACCAAGTGATCTCGAACATATCAACCCATAATCGATTTTCCGGTCTTAATGTTGATGAACATATCGAAGACGCGGAATTGGTTAATGCTACAAGCCAAGTATCTCAAATGCCCGTAAGGACGGAAGGCAAGGAGGCTCGGAAAGTATCTCCTATGCTAGACCAAATCGAAGCTTCGTCGAAGACAAAGTCTAAGTTTATTAACTCGGACAAAACAAAGCAGCCCAACTAAGATAGGACGCCCAGTCAAAGTAGCCATTGTTGGTGATTCAATGATCAAATACGTAAGCCCCTCAAAACTACGAAAAAGTATAAAGCAAAACGTCCATGTAAAAATATTTCCCGGTGCAAAAGTGTCTGACAAGCACTATTACGTCAAACCAACGTTAAAACAAGCACCGGATTATTTGGTACTTCACGTTGGCACCAATGATCTATAAAGCAAAGCTCTCCTCGTCGAATATCTACATCAATAGCTAATTTGGGTCAAGAGATCCAAAAGAGCGTACCCACAACGAAGTTAATAATATCTGAAGTGATAATAAGAAATGATGATCCAGAGATTAGCGCAAAAGTCAAAGAAGTTAATTCCAAACTATTGCAGGTATGCAAGAATAATAAATGCGAACATATAAGTCATAAAAAATATCGTAGAAAAACATTTGAATCCATATGGGGTTCATCTTAATAAACAAGGAACTATAGCATTAGCTAAGAATTTTACTGACTTTTTAAAAGTTATCTATTGACTGTCTATTAATAATAGTCGCACCATAGAGTATCAAAATGCCAATAACGCACGTCCACAGAAAAAAACCGTTACCAAACACCGCATTTCTTTTGCCTAAACTAGGGGGGTTCAGAATTGCCCATTTAAATATTGCTAGTTTGATAAAACATTTTGATGAATTTTTAATCTATATGCATGACAAACCTTTTCATATTTTGACACTTAATGAAACTATAGACTTGATGATATAGCATACCAATTTCTGAGATCAAAATCTCAGGATATGATATTGTTAGACTTGACAGAAACAGAAACGCAGGGGGTGTTGCAATGTACATCCGAAGTTGTATAACATTTACTAATCGGAATGACTTATTTCCTGAGTCAATTGAACAAATCTGGGTTGAGATCAACAAACCTAAGAGCAAGCCGTTCTTAGTTTCCACTTGGTATAGACCACCCAATTCTAAAATCGAAATATTCAATCTCTTTGAAGAATTCTTTAAACTCGTTGATATTGAGGATAAGGAATTAATTACTACAGGAGATTTGAATTGCGATCTATTACAACCAGATAAAAATGCGTCTACGGCTCGATTGTTGGATATATTTGATATTCAGTTATCTCCTGAAACAACATATACAAAGTCCTACTAGAGTAACTCTTAACTCTCAAACATTAATCGATGTCATTATCAGTTCGATTGAAGACAATAAGACAGTAGAAGCGGAGGTTGTTGAACTGGGCATCAGTGATCATAACTTAGTCTACATATTCCGTAAAGTCAGTGTACCAAAGGAGCCACCTAAAATAATATTTAGTCGGCAATTCAAACATTTTAGAGTTAATGAATTTAGAACGGATTTAAGAAATATCTTTGCTGCTAATATTATTACGGATGACCCAAACAACATGTGCCATGATTGGAAAAATAGACTTTTGCATGTTGCTGAGAAACACGCGCCTACTTGACAACGTCGTGTAAAAAGTGATTACAAACCATGACTTACTGAGCATTTCAAAAAACAATGTTACCATAGGGACTTCCTTAAGAAGCAAGCAGTTAAAATTAAATCTGCATATTACGATACGGCTTACAAAAGGCATAAAAATTATGTTCTTAGCCTTATCAAATCCACAAAAGCAGAGTATTTCAAAACAAAACTTGGAAACACAAAGAACAGCTACGATAGCTGGCAGACAATAAATAGCTTATTAAACAAGAAATTTAAAACTACAGAAGTAAATTAGTTAAAAATGAACAATCGTATTATTATGGGAGATCAAAATATTGCGGCTTGTTTCAATGACTATTTTGCTACAATTGGGCCTGAACTCGCTGAAAATTGCGATTTGTATCTCCTATTAAAAATTATTTTTGCTTCAAAAACATCAATGCCTCTGAACTGTCCGACACCCTTGCTCAAATTAAGACTAAAAAATCACCAGGAATCGATGGTATAAGTACTAAACTGTTGAAAGCTGCTGGGGATATACTATTTGATTCATTGGGTAGCATTTTTAATCTATCCTTACAAACAGGAATTTACCCTGATGACTGGAAATTGGCTAAAGTATCACCAATCTTTAAGGATGGTGTAGAAACTGAGTGTGGCAATTATAGACCGATTTCTGTGATTCCATTATAGCCAAACTGTTTGAGAAATTAGTATGTAATCAACTTAAAACCTACATGATGAATAACAATATAATAACTAAAAATCAGTCAGGTTTCCGAGAGCACCAATCCACGGAAACCGCTTTACTTGATTTAACAAACGATTGGCTTCATAATATGGATAATGGTTTATTGAACGGGGTTTTGTTTCTGGATTTTAAAAAAGCGTTTGACTCAGTCAATCATAACATACTACTTTCCAAATTAGAGCTTTACGGTATCAGCGAAACTAGTCTGAGATGGTTTAGATCTTATTTTAGTAACAGGAAACGGTAAGCAATCAAATGTAAACGAACTTAATTTTGGAGTTCCACAGGGATCCAACCTTGGGCCGTTTTTGTTTCTCTTATATATTAACGACTTGCCCAGATGTCTCCAAACTACTAAGGCTAGATTATTTGCAGACGATACAACTCTTTCCATCAGTGCTCCAACCGTAGATGAAATTGAGTCAAAACTTAATCATGATCTTCTGAATGTTAACGAATGGCTCATTGCAAATAAACTTACACTAAACGAAACGAAAACTGAATTTATGATAATAGGTTCACGCCAGCGAGTCCCGTCATTTGAACAGGACCCCATAATTAAACTTGGTAATCAAGTTATTAAGCGTGTACCCAATAAAAAGACGCTTGGTGTAATTTTAAATGAACATCTAACTTGGAACAAGCATATCGATGAACAAAATAAAATGATTTCAAACAATATTGCTTTATTAAGGAGAGCTAATTCGTTTGTGCCTGAGCATATCCTTAACAAAATGTATAATGCATTTGTAATTCCGAATTTCTATTACTGTTCCACTGTTTGGAACGATCGCGATGGCTACAAAAGTAAACTTACAAAGCTATCTAAACTTCAAAAGAAACGGCACGTATGATAACCGGCGCTTCATACGAAGTACGATCCAATGAAATATTTGAAAAACTTGATTGGATACCAATCCATAAAAGCTTATCTATTAGAGAAAATATTGTTACTTTTAAAGCACTTACTGTTAATTCTTCGAATTATCTCAGAGAAATGTTTAATTTCTGTTCAAACGAAACGTACAACTTGAGAAGTAACTTTTGCCAACTTTCCCTTGAGAAACCTAAAATAAATTTTCTCCACAATGGTTCTCATATAAAGCGGCAAAATCTTGGAACAATCTCCCGGATAACATTAGACAAAACGTCGAAAATATCACACTAAATGTTGCTAAATCTATGCTCATCAATCACTACAGAACCGATTAAGTCCCCTTGGGTTAGTAATATCAGTAGATATTTACTATAATTAAAATAATTAGTAGTTTAATGTATTAGTATATACTATAGGCGAAGCTGACCAGTATGTAGGCTTCACTATTTTGTATTATAGTATTAGGTTAATATATGTTGTATAGTGTGCACGGCCATTGAAAATCAGCGTAGCATGCAGAATGGCTACCGCGCTTAAAGAATTTTAAAGATTAAAGATTAAAGATTAATATCTACACTCGAACTGTAATAACCGGCTGGAATGCAAAGGTACAGGCAAACGATAGTGTCACGCTTTTACTTACGGTTTGAAAATCTCTGTTTGGATGAAATGTACGCCATTTCTCATCACGTTCGTAATGAATACGAAAAGATTTAACATACTGAGAAGCTCGTCCCATGACTGTAATTCCAGTTACACGAACTAACTCATTGAAATCAACCTAAGATGAAAAGTGGTTAACATTATTTATTCTACACTCAACTAATTAGCATATTTGCGAAACGAAATGTGACGCAACCAAAACTTTTTTAATTAACTTTGTATTTTTCAATTTAGTCCACTGTAATAGAGAAGAAATTCAGATTACTACTTCATCTATTTGGGATAGGTATTTTTGTTTTTAATTGACAATACTGTAAAAATAAAAACAATAATGCAAGGAAGCCAATTATGACGAGTAAGCTCAATCACGGTTTTATTTCGTTCTGATTCATGCAAAATGTGTTTGGGGCTTTGGGAATCTCGAATAGTTCTAAACCAATTTGTAACCTGGATAATTCTGAAAACTTCAGGATTTACTATGACTGACATAAGAATATATAGTTCCCACACATTATTTGCAGGAACCTATTCGTTCTAGATCTTATTACTTAATAAATATTCTTGTTACTTATTGTTATTCCTACTAAATACTAATGGTCGCAAATTTAAACGACACGATTAGTTAGACTAGCAGATGATTAGTAATACGACCATTGTACTCTGCATAGTTATTAATGCAGAACACAATGGCTATCTCTTGCCATTGGGTGCCCACATGGCCAAGGGGAGAAAACTAATATGGAGTTGTGGAGGGGGGGGAGGACCATTTGAAAAATTATGGGTATAATAAATATCACTGACATTCCTTAAAATTATGAAATTCCGAGTACAGCGAGCATAATTGCACGAAAAGGTACAGTGAAGAGATTTTACTTGCACGGATAAAATTCTAAACCATGTTTGTAGTTACGCTATAGCTCAAGTCACTTGCACGTAACTAGGGTACCGTGGATCCCAGCATCTGACACATGTTGCAAACTCTTTCGTTAGTGTAATTAGCCTTATTTTTATATGTTTTGGTTAGTTGTCGTTCTGTTCGCAAGGTTTTGCCTAACTCATTGCCATTTTTGCAAACAAATTAAGCTTGATCCGGAGTACCAAGATAAACAACGGCACTCACTACACATAATTTGTAGTCATATCATGTAAGCTACGCATATAGCTGAAACGTCTGAAAAAGCTTACTAATTTGTATGTGAAAGAGAAGGAGGAACGAATAGCAAATCATGTGGTTTTCATATTGCAAAGGTGTCAGTAAAGGTGGTTCTGCTTCACTGCATTAATTAAACAGGTGAAAATTTAATGAAATGCTACCAGTAAACAACGTTGATTTTAAGAGGGATATCAGTTGGAAATGTAGGGTTTCAGATCCTCTTTTACGCCACAAAAAAACGTTTCTGGTTGCACAGAATGTGCAATTGTGTGCACAGTGTAAGATTGCACAATTGATCATTTATCTACAGCGTACGAGTACGACAACGCACATACAGTCTGCAGTTTACAAATTGTCTAAACATTAATAAAAGCTAATGCTGGGGACAACTAGCTGTTTTGATTCCTATGCACCGTCAACGGTATTTTCCGAAGATACAGCCTGAACAAGGGAACAGCAAACGCACTATGTCCAACGGCAAAAAGAGAACCAAATTCCCCTTGGGACTAAATGTCTAGAGCTATACATTCAGAGGAGACGCTACAGGGTGTGTGTGGGTGTGGGTGGGGGGGTGGAACACCTCCTCAACAAATCCGCAAATTATTATTATTATCGGCAAAACTGGATTGGCTGAAGATAACCACTGAAGTGAAGAAACCAAAATTGACTTCCTGAACAATTGAATTCAAACCGAATATCACGACTA